AATAGTAGGCACCAAACTGAAAATAGTGATTTCTGAAGTGTAATCTCATATAATTCTGATGCTCCTTGGCTATGGACACATAGAAGTAGGCATTTTCAAAGTCCACTGAGATTATTTAAACTCCCTTTTGTACTACTGACGGTATGGAACCCAAACATTCTACACGAAAAGAATATATCATTAATAACAATTTTAGGGCCTTGAGGTCAAACCTCGGTCTCCACTTGCCAGATGCCTATTTCACAAGGAAATAAGCCCTTTGGCATTGGTACAATGGCCTGTGACTGCGACAATTCTGCAAAATATTGATCCAGCGATAATCGTGTCTAAAGAGATACCAGAATCTTTGTGGAAAGAAAATAGTTCAGGGAAGGCCCTGCGATAATGGAGGTGAAGACCCATTGCACCAAGCTTAGAACCCAGAAAACCCTGGGTGGGCAAGATTTTAGAAGGTTCTGTGCAGCTTTAGAGGACTGGTTGTTTTTGACTTTGACTGCCTAAGGAAAGAACCATGGCTGCTGCACCAAGGAACTCGCATGACCCATCTTCCAGTGCAATAAAACAGTGACTCCTTGAATAGATCCTGATGTGTTCTTGATCTAAAGGACTGTTGCCAGTGGCTTCTTCTGAAGGAAGGAAGTCAATAAATAGCGTTCTCAAATGTTGCACCAAAAAGTGCTATTAACGGAATAGAGCCCAAGTCTTGGTTGGAGGCCGAATTAATCAACTAGTGCTTCAAAGGGCTCTTCTGGCTGTGGCAGAATGAACCACAATCCTGGTGATTATTTGAGCAGGTCCACAGCAGCTTCTGCTATAAAATATGAAAACAGCTTGATATTTTCAAGTGCTGCACTATTTGAATCAACCTCTGACTCTAGGGACAACTCAATCTTGTAGTCTATGCCTTCATGGCCCTGACTACTGATGTTAGCACAATAGCCAGCTTGCAGGCAGCCCCAGCAGTAGTAAAAATCCTCTCTAGATCAGTGTCCACTCTTCTTTCTATAGCATCATTAAAGCAGAGTGACTCATCCAGAGAAAGGGTTATATGCCTCACCATGCATTGCAAAGAGACATGACCTTAAAGCGTAGCCTTCGATGACTGTGAATTGGATGTTTGTAATGGGTATGATTACCCATTTTATTTTGGAAAATGGCTTCTACTGTAAATAGGAATAGCTCATTTCTCCTTTATGAGTTTTTTTATTTCCAGCATCAAAGGAAAATTCAGAAGCTATTCCTTCTTCTGGACTCTCATCCAAACCACTAGGACATGGAGACACCTCACTATTGGATGTTAGCTGGGACTGAGGTCTCCTAGTTGACATAGAAGACACTAAGCTCTTTATGCTGTCTGTCATTGCCTATTTGATATAGGATTTGATCTGCTCAATTTCCAATGATCTGCCATTCTTTAAAGTGGGCTTTGCACACCAATTTGGACTACCACAAGCAAAGCAGGAGCTACCTGGCCTTCAGAGCAACATAATGACTGCAAATTTAAGCCAAACAACTGTGATGACATCGTCGTGGAAGATCATTAGATGGAGAAACTGAACATCGACTCCTATGATGACACTTAGCTTTATCCTTCCCATGCAGAGAATGTGAGCATTGCTACCTAGATTATGATCATGATCCTGGTTATGAACAAGAGTGAGTTTAAAAGTTTCTGTTCCATATCACTCAGGTCCAGCTGTTATCAACTGCACAGGCTATTCACAGCAAAGCACATGTAGACCAATAGCCTATCTGATGGCTGCAAATGGTAGCTAATAAAAAATCATATACATCATTATATATACCCATTTAAGAAAAACAAATTAAAAATAGTTGGTGGAAGGGTTGACATCCCTTTCAGGTTTTAATTTCTGTTTGTGTTCCCACTATTTCACTTCCACTATTTGTTCTGGCCATTGTTTTAAAAACCAAAAAATGACCACCAGGACAAGAATAGATGGACATTTATAATTGTCATAGGTTGAATTCCCTCCCTTTTTTCGAGATGTCCGTTCACTCGTATATTTGAGGCGGGAAATATGGAGAACTCGTGACCAATGGGGACACAGCCAGAGTAAGAATCAGTCAGAGGTTCTAACCTTTCTTTACTCTAGGGAAATACCACAAAATATTTTTTTTTCCTTTTTTTTTGATGGAAAAATTTACATTTGATAAAGATTATTGAAAAAAAATTGGCCGTGGTTCCACTTTGATATTGAAATTTATAGATTCCTTTAAAATTCATAGTGATACTAATGTGTACTAAAAATAAAGACCAATAGAGCTTTTAAATAAAAAAAAACTTATGTTGGCACAATTCTTTTTCAGAAACTCCTATGAAAGTGACTTCAAAATGCCAAACTGGGACCTCTCTTCCTTTCCCTAGTGGTTACTTCCTGATGAATCAATGGTTCCCCTCACATTGCAGTCTTTCTTCCTTTGATCCATTGTTAAACATAAATAAATGTTTGGCTGGCAAAATGATATATATGATGGGCGATTCAACAATGCGCCAATGGATAGAATTCTCCCCAAAAGTCCTAAAGAGTAAGTATCCACATTGCTTTTGCAAATTTTAAAGCATAACTGCAGGGAACACATGACTTGGAAAGCATTTTTTTTTCGGTAGTGGAAAGGGATTAGAACACTTTTATAATTAGATTTTCATTGCTGTTTGTATTAGAGATTCACTTTCTTTTGGTTCTGATCAGGGGTGGATTGACCATTTGGAAACTCGGGCACTGCCCGAGGGCCTGGGGTCTGTAGGGGGCCCCATGAGATGCCCCTGGTACCTTTTTTCATAAGCTTTTTTGAGTTTGGGCAAGGACACAGGGGCCCCATGTTCCCCTATTTCCCGGGGGCCCCATGAGCTGTCAGTCCAACCCTGGTGCTGATTAACATTATCACTCAAAGTGAAAGCAAAATTTTGGATTCTAACCAGGATAGGAAAAGATGGGTTATCTTTCAATGGAGACACTAGTCATGATAACCCTGGTGACAAACCGGTCAAAGCATACATATCACCAGCACACTATGGATCTTCAAAACAAAGCCAAAACCTGTTTTACCAGAGGTGTGTGACTGAAGCAGGGAAACGCAGACCTCAGATATGTTATAAGCAATATAATTTATTAACACTAACAGTACAAACATAAACGCAGTGCAATACTAAAACATAATACGGTGCAAACAAACCAAACCAAACCACCCACAGATAACAGTATATACAAGCAAGCGTCGTCAGGCAGGCCGGGTCAATATCAATTGGGCAGGTAGGTACAGGGGGAGCAAGCGGAGAATGGTCGGGGTCACAGGCCAGGTTCAGCAGGTAGCAAGCAGCATAGTACAGAGGGTCAGGCAGAGGGATGGTCCGGGTCACAAGCCAGGGATCAGAACAGGTAGCAAGCAGCGTAGTACAGAGGGTCAGACAGAGGGATGGTCAGGGTCACAAGCCAGGATCAGAGCAGGAGAAGTCAGCAAAGGAACAGAAACAGGATGCAGGACAGATACAGGGCCCAGGACAAACACAACACCAAGGCAGAGTCTGCAAGTCTGGCCATCCCTTAAATACCCCAGTATCATCAGTTCCAGGTGTTAGCTGGCTGAAAGGTTGAGTCTCTGATTGCTGGGAGCACCCGCTGGCCAGCCCTGGTACTGCAGATCAAAAGGCAGGTGAGTCCCACCATTGCTGGCCAGTCCATTCCTAACAGTACCCCCCCCTCAAAGGAGCGGCCTCAGGACGCTCCAAACAGTCCTAGCTGGGCAAAATGTTCCACCGCCCGGGTCTGGCAACTGGCGGGATATCAAAGACTGGCACACCGGGGCAGGACTCCGGGCAGCGGCACACCGGGCTGCAGAGGCACACCGGGCAGAGGCACATCGGGCAGGACTCCGGGCAGAGGCACATCGGGCAGAGGCACATCGGGCAGGACTCCGGGCAGAGGCACATCGGGCAGGACTCCGGGCAGAGGCACACCGGGGAGGGCACATCAGGCAGGACTCCGGGCAGAGGCACATCGGGCAGGGACTCCGGGCAGAGGCACATCGGGGGCAGGGCACATCGGGCAGGACTCCGGGCAGAGGCACATCGGGCAGGACTCCGGGCAGAGGCACATCGGATTACCAGGACCAGGCGGGCCAGGCAGCAGGCACAGGGGGCCCCCGGGCGGGCAGCACAGGCACCGGGCCCCGGGCGGAGCAGCAGGCACCGGGCCCCCGGGCGGGAGCAGCAGGCACGGGCCCCCGGGCGGGGCAGCAGGCACCGGGCCCCCGGGCGGAGCAGCAGCAGCAGCACGGGCCCCCCGGGCGGGGCGACAGGCACGGGCCCCCGGGCGGGGCGACAGCCACCGGGCCCCCAGGCGGGGCGACAGCCACCGGGCCCCCAGGCGGGGCGACAGCCACCGGGCCCCCAGGCGGGGCGACAGGCACCGGGCCCCCAGGCGGGGCGACAGGCACCGGGCCCCCAGGCGGGGCGACAGGCACGGGCCCCCAGGAGGGGCGACAGGCATCGGGCCCCCAGGCGGGGGCGACAGGCATCGTGCCCCCAGGCGGGGCGACAGGCATCGTGCCCCCAGGCGGGGCGACAGCATCGTGCCCCCAGGCGGAGGCGGCGGGCCGGACCCCCAGATGGAGCGACAGGTCTCGGGCCCTCAGGCGGAGCGGCGGGCGCCGGACCCCCAGGTGGAGCGACAGGTCTCGGGCCCTCAGGCGGAGCGGCAGGCGCCGGACCCCCAGGCGGAGCGACAGGTCTCGGGCCCCCAGGCGGAGCGGCGGGCACCGAGACACCAGGCACGACAGTGGGCTCCGAGTCAACTGGTATGACCGCAGGCACTGGGTCAGACATTGGATGGTCTGGCTGGACAGCGGGCATCGGACCCACCAGGCATCAGGTCATTTGGCTCGACAGCGGGCACCGCGTCATCTGGCAAGGCAGTGGGCTCCGAGTCAACTGGTATGACGCGGGGGGCACTGGGTCAGACATTGGATCGTCTGACCGGACAGCGGGCATCGGGTCACCAGGCATCAAGGTCATTTGGCTCGACAGCGAGCACCGCGTCATCTGGCAAGGCAGTGGGGCTCCGAGTCAACTGGCATGACCGCGGGCACCGGGGCAGACATTGAATCGTCTGGCTGGACAGCGGGCATCGGGTCACCAGGCATCAGGTCATTTGGCTCGACCGCGGGCACCGCGTCATCTGGCAAGGCAGTGGGCTCCGAGTCAACTGGTATGACCGCGGGCACTGGGTCAGACATTGGATCGTCTGACTGGACAGCGGGCATCGGGTCACCTGGCATCAGGTCATTTGGCTCGACAGCGGGCACCGCGTCATCTGGCAAGGCAGTGGTCTCTGAGTCAACAGGCACGACAGCGGGCACCGGGTCATCAGGTACCGGATTGTCTGGCTCGACAGCGGGCATCGGGTCATCAGGTATGACAGCGGACACTAGGTCACCAGGCATCAGGTCATTTGGCTTGCCAGCGGGCACCGCGTCATCTGGCAAGGCAGTGGGCACCGAGTCACCAGGTACGACAGCGGGCTCTGAGTTAATTGGCACGACAGCGGGCACCGGATCAGGTACCGGATCATCTGGATCAACAGCGGGCATCGAGTCAACTGGCCTAATAGGATCGTCAGGCTGGATCAGTTCATCATGCTGGGTAGAGGCTTCAGGCCGAGTAGAGGCATCAGGCCGAGTAGAGGCATCAGGCCGTAGAGGCATCAGGCCGAGTAGAGGCATCAGGCCGAGTAGAGGCTTCAGGCTGAAGAGAGGCATCAGGCCGAGTACAGGCATTCAGGCCGAGTACAGGCATCAGGCCGAGTACAGGCATCAGGCCGAGTACAGGCATCAGGCCGAGTAGAGGCTTCAGGCCGAGTAGGCTTCAGGCTTCAGGCCGCGTAGAGGCTTCAGGCCGCGTAGAGGCTTCAGGCCGCGTAGAGGCTTCAGGCCGAGTAGAGGCATCAGGCTGCGTACAGGCATCAGTCTGAACCACGGAAGGCAGGCTCACCGGTTTGGATACTGGCAGGATGGTATTGGTTGAAAGAATTTTCGCTTTTTTCTGGTTTTAACTACTGGAGCACTGCAAGTAAACGCAGGTCTGCAAACGAATGGAGCAGCTGGAGACAGAGAAGAACTGGAGGATGGAACAGGAGAGGGAGCAGTTGCTACAGAGGGCTTTTTTACAGGGTTAAAAGGCAGGATAGGTGCAGCGAGTGGGAACAGGGTACTGACATGCGGTAGATAGCCAAGTATACTGGGCTGTAACTGGAGGAGCTGGTGGGAATACAGGAATAGAGAGTTAGAAGCAGGACTGGGTCTTTGTAAGCTGACTGAGGCTGGGTGCAACAAATCTGTCCATGTCTGCAGTATGGGTTGAACAAAAGCTGAGCTTACACAAAGTCTGTCTGGTCAATGACTGCACTGCGTTTATACAATCTCTCAGTGTCTGTGGTGAACATGTACAATAACGCTCCAGAAAGTAACCCACATCATCCTCTAATAACCACACCAGGGACTCTACCTGGTCTGCACTAAATGGTGGCAAAAATTCATCCCTGCATTCGGGGGAACCAGATGAAACCAACTCTGCACAAACCTCAATCAATGGCTGCACCTCAGAGAACACTGTGCCCTGATCTACTAGAACATGAGCGAGCCGTATACATTCTAGCAATTCATCCCGGGTATACTCCTTCAGAGTTTGATAAGCATACTCCCTGTCATCAAACACTAGCAGATATAAATACTCAACCTCCTCAAGATCCATCCTTCCCATCAACAAGCCAAGATGGCTTCCCTGTGCAGCCACTTCTGGTCAGGATTGGCCTTGGGTGTAATGTCAGGGCTCCCAGGTATGACCAGAGGTGTGTGTGACTGAAGCAGGGAAACGCAGACCTCAGATATGTTATAAACAATATAATTTATTAACACTAACAGTACAAACATAAACGCAGTGCAATACTAAAACATAATACGGTGCAAACAAACCAAACCACCCACAGATAACAGTATATACAAGCAAGCGTCGTCAGGCAGGCCGGGGTCAATATCAATTGGGCAGGTAGGTACAGGGGGAGCAAGCGGAGAATGGTCGGGGTCACAGGCCAGGTTCAGCAGGTAGCAAGCAGCATAGTACAGAGGGTCAGGCAGAGGGATGGTCCGGGTCACAAGCCAGGGATCAGAACAGGTAGCAAGCAGCGTAGTACAGAGGGTCAGACAGAGGGATGGTCAGGGTCACAAGCCAGGATCAGAGCAGGAGAAGTCAGCAAAGGAACAGAAACAGGATGCAGGACAGATACAGGGCCCAGGACAAACACAACACCAAGGCAGAGTCTGCAAGTCTGGCCATCCCTTAAATACACCAGTATCATCAGTTCCAGGTGTTAGCTGGCTGAAAGGTTGAGTCTCTGATTGCTGGGAGCACCCGCTGGCCAGCCCTGGAACTGCAGATCAAAAGGCAGGTGAGTCCCACCATTGCTGGCCAGTCCATTCCTAACAGTAAGTTACAATATTTTGGGGCCACACAGGACTCCTTCATCAGGCATGTGAAAAGAGGTCTTGTATGACCTCAAAACATTGCATTTTATTGCTGTGATGTGACCATCTCAATAAATGTTTGGACTTAATCATGATGATCCACAGTCTGTTGGCAATGTATGCTTTGCCCTATGGTTTTACCAGTCTCCTGCTGGTTTTTGCTACAACACCTGCTTACTCCTTGGCAGGGGCGGACTGACCATTTGGAAACTCGGGCACTGCCCGAGGGCCCGGGGTCAGTAGGGGGCTCCATGAGATGCCCCAGGTACCTTTTTCATAGGCTTTTTTGAATTTGGGCGAGGACACAGGGGCCCCCATGATCCCCTATTGCTTGGGGGCCCCATGAGTTGTCAGTCCGCCCCTGCTCCTTGGCCTTTTCCAGGAACATTTGTGATGATGATATTGCACGTTGCAGAGTCAAGATTTCTAATATCCATTGCAAATGCATGTTATAAGTGTTTTATTGAGTTGTTATTGGAATGTGGAAAACACTAAAATGCAGAAAAGAACATACACTATATTGCCAAAAGTATTGGACCTCCTGCCTTTACATGCAAATGAACGTTAATGGCATCCCTGTCTTAGTCCATAGGGTTCAATATTGAGTTGGCCCCACCATTTGCAGCTATAACAGCTTCACCTCTTCTGGGAAGGGCCCGTCCACAAGGTTTAGGAGGGTGTCTATGGGAAGGTTTGATCATTCTTCCAGAAGCACATTTGTGAGGTCAGGCACTGATGGCGGACGAGAAGGCCTGGCTCACAGTCTGGCTCACCATAATCCCCCCTCCGCTCTACTAAACACTTGGCACAAGGCAGTCAGACAAGTACCAGACACATCCATCAGATTGCCAGACAGAGAAGTGTGATTTGTCACTCCAGAGAACACGTCTTCACTGCTCTGTAGTCCAGTGGCGGTGTGCTTTACACCACTGCATATGACGCTTTGCATTGCACTTGGTGATGTAAGGCTTGAATGCAGCTGCTCGGCCATGGAAACCCATTCCATGAAGCTCTCTACGCACTGTTGTTGTGCTAATCTGAAGGCCACATGAAGTTTGGAGGTTTTTAGCTGTTGACTCTGCAGACAGTTGGCGACTTCTGTGCACTATGCGCTTCAGCATGCGCTGACCCCCGCTCTGTCATTTTACGTGGCCTACCACTTCGTGGATGAGTTGCTGTTGTTCCCAGTTGCTTCCACTTTGTTGAATAGTACCCCATTGTTGGTGTCAACAGAAGGAATATAGCCTCATTGTTAGTATCAATTGGAGGAATAGTGCCCCATTGTTGGTGTCAGGGGAGGAATAGTGCCGCATCATTGGTATCAGTGGGAGGAATAGTGCCCCATCATTGGTATTAGTGGGAGGAATAGTGCCCCATCGTTGGTGTCAGGGGAGGGAATAGTGCCCCATCATTGGTATTAGTGGGAGGAATAGTGCCCCATCGTTGGTGTCAGGGCGAGGAATAGTGCCCAATGTTGGTGTTAGTCTGAGGAATAGTGCCCCATCATTGGTGTCAGGGCGAGGAATAGTGCCCCATCATTGGTGTCAGTGGGAGGAATAGTTTCCCATCATTGGTATCAGTGGGAGGAATAGTGCTCCATCATTGGTTTCAGTGGGAGGAATAGAACCTCATCATTGGTATATGCTGGAGGAATAGTGCCCCATCATTGGTGTCAGCAGGAGGAATATAGCCTAATCATTAGTATCAATAGGAGGAATAGTGCCCCATTGTTGGTGTCAGCGGGAGGAACATAGCCTAATCGTTAGAATCAATTGGAGGAATAGTGCCCCATTGTTGGTGTCAGAGGGAGGCATAGTGCCCCATTGTTGGTGTCAGTGGGAGGAATATAGCCTCATTGTTAGTATCAATTGGAGGAATAGTGCCCCATTGTTGGTGTCAGAGGGAGGAATAGTGCCCCATTGTTGGTGTCAGTGGGAGGAAAAGTGCCCCCCTCTTTGCTGTCAGTGGGAGGTATTATGCCCCACTGTTTGGAGGAATAGTGCCCCATTGTTGTCAGCGGGAGGAATATAGCCTCATCCTTAGTATCAATTGGAGGAATAGTGCCCCATTGTTGGTGTCAGAGGGAGGAATAGTGCCCCATATTTGGTTTCAGTGGGAAGAACAGTGCCCCCCCTCTTTGCTGTCAGTGGGAGGTATTATGCCCCACTGTTTGTTTCAGTGGAAAGCATGGTGCCCCATCATTGGTGTCAGTGGGTGGAATGTTGCCTTGTATCAGCGAGAGTAACAGTGCCCCAAAGGGCAGGATAAAGGCAAGCTAAGGGCTGCATTTGGCTAAGTTTGGTGACCACCGATCTAGAGTTGGCCATTCCATGCATAACAGCACTCAACACTGGGAAAGGAAGGGGCAACATTAGGAGCCAATCATGCTCTGCTACATGCATGTGTTCAGACAGGAGGAAAAAGCTGAGATAATGGCAATATATTGTTAGTTTTTTTATTTTTCGATAACCAAGTTGCAGGTAGGAGGTGAGGATACTGTATTTTTCACAATGAAAGTGGTGTCACCGTGTCACGTTCCTGCATGTCAGAGGTGTAGAAATCATAAAAGTGGCTGCAAGGATTCAACCTATCTCTGTAGCCCCCTTGTCCTCGTTATTTTCACACCAGGCCTGAGAGAAATAAAGCTCAGACACAGAAGTCTTCAAGCTAAATCTCTGAAAGTTTAATGCATGACAAGAACAGATATACAGAACTCGGTGGGCATTGCTTAATCTCAGGATGACCAATGAAACATTTCACTCTTATCAATATAGTTACGTAAAGAACAGAAACTGCAAATAATTGAGGGATACCATATAAGGAAATTACTTTTTGAGAAATGAAACTAGTCTGAAGAAACGAGAGAGGAGTTACAATACCGAAACTAACTGTTCACACATCTAGAAATGGAGGCATTATACAAAACAGTTAATAAGACATATTTCCTTACAGTAGCTGAACAGAATGATCAACTTTTTTGGCAGATGAGAATTTTCACCTTTGAGTATTTCACCTTTTGTGTGTAACGATGCTCTTTTTTGTATTATTGGCTGAGGATGATAAGTTGAGTAGAAGCAATGAATG